AAGTTCCCATTTTCAAACAATGTCATAAATTTGTTATTGGAAAAGGTGGTGCTAATATCAAAAAGGTAAGAAAAATAAAAAAACAATATAATTTTAATTCTTTTTTATATTATATCATGATATTATTTAGATACGAGAAGAAACACAAACGAAAATTGATTTACCTGCAGAAGGTGAAAAAAGTGATGTTATTACTATCACCGGGAAGAAAGAAAATATGGAAAAAGCTAAAGAAATGATACAAAAGATTCAAGATGAAATGGTATATATTATAAGAATATAAAAGTACCTATAAATTTTAATAATATTATTAATAAATTAAATAATTTCTGTTTATTAGGCTAATATTGTAATTAATGAAATAACTATACCACCGAAGTTCTATAATTTCTTAATTGGAACTGGCGGTAAACTAATACATTCTATTATGGAAGATTGTGGTGGTGTAACAATTAAATTTCCTTCTGCTGAAAGTGGAAGTGATAAGGTAAGAAAATAAGTTTAAATAAATATTAGAAGTAAGTGTAAGCTGTTTTTTTACAATCAATGCATGCAATTTTCTAGGTCTGTAATAAAGATACAAACAAACGTTTCATACAAAATTAAACGGTTTCGGGAGAACACATCACATTGATTAATAGAGCAGATTTTTTATAATTTATTTGAAAATTTCTTCTGTCAAGGTATTTTTTTCTTCGATATATCTTGTAAATTTTTATTAAAATAATTTTAAAAGGTCCCTCGAACGATATATTTCTTGTTATAGTTAATTTGCAAAATTTTATTTCAAAATTAATATAATATAAAAGAAGATAAAAGAAAATTGTTTGTTTGTTATAGTATCATTCGAACCATTTAATTTTGTATAATATATATTTGTATACTTGTATTAAATGCAAAAAGAAATATACTCCACGATATAAATACAAAAAGATTAAAGAAATAAAATTATTATATTTTAATTAGGTGAGTATCAGAGGTCCGAAAGAGGATGTGGAAAAAGCGAAACAGCAACTGTTTGAACTCACTACTGAAATGCAACTCACAAGTTATTCCGTTGAAGTTCGTGCCAAAGTTCAACATCACAAATTTCTTATTGGAAAAAATGGTGCCAATATTAAAAAGGTATTATTTTTATGCTAATATCAGATGTAATAAATATTATTCCAAAATCAAAATAACATTTGTATATTCATATTTTTTTTTTATTAGATAAGAGAATCTACTGGTGCCCGTATAATGTTTCCAACTGAAGAGGATCTAGATAAAGAAATTATTACTATAATGGGCAAAAAAGAGGCCGTAGAGAAAGCCAAGGCTGAATTAGAAGCAAATATCAGTGAAATTGTAAGACTTTTTCAATATTTCGTGATATGTATATATATATAATATGCTTAAAATTTTTAATTTATATATTTTCTTATCACAGGATAATATTACTGAAGGTGAAATACACATTGATCCCAAACATCATAGACATTTTGTGGCGAGAAGAGGAGGTGTTTTACATCGTATTGCTGATGAATGTGGCGGTGTACAAATTTCTTTTCCAAGAGCAGGTGTCGATAGCGATCGCGTAATTCTTAAGGGATCACATGATTGTATTGAAGCTGCAAAACAACGAATGCAAGAAATTGTTCAGGAACTAGTAAGTTGTAATATAACTTTGCATATTCTTTAAAGCAATTATCTATCAATAAAAATATTTGAAATAAAAAATGGATCGTTTGAAAAATATAATAAATTATTCCTATAGGAATCAATGGTAACAGTAGAATGTATAATTCCCCAAAAACATCATCGTACCGTAATGGGGGCTAAAGGTCGCAAAGTTCAAAGTATTTCAGCTGAATATGACGTGCAAGTTAAATTCCCTGATCGTGATACATATGGTAAGAATAATTGAATATTTATTTTTAACCGATATAAGCACAATTAAATAGAAATATATATCGTGTTACATATAATGTTAAATAATTTAGTAGAAGAACATCAGTTTACCGAAAAAATTAATGGTGAAAATGGAGATCTCTCAGAGGAAGTTCTGGCGTGTGATATAATTCGTATCACTGGCCAACCAGACAATGTAGCTGCTGCCAAACAAGCATTACTTGATCTTGTACCTATAACAATTGAAGTTAGTATTTTGTAAATATCCTTTTAAAAAATTTCTTTGGTAATCGCATAATTAAAATTTGTTATTTTCAGGTACCAGTACCATTTAATTTTCATCGTTCGATAATTGGTCAGAAAGGTCGTGATGTACGAGAATTAATGAATATGTATGATGTTCGTATAATGCTATCACCTGCAGAAGAAAGACTTGATTATATAAAGGTATATTCTAATACATTCATACAATTCATTTCTTATAATTTTAAGTTATAAAGATATTATTATTAACGTACTAATTATTGATCAGATATCTGGAACACCATCGTGTGTTGAAGATGCGAAGCATGCAATCCTAGAAAAATGCAAATCTCTGGAAGCTGATCGTCAAGATAGAGCACTTAAATCCTTTGAATTAAAGGTATTTGATACATTGGGGTGTAATCAGTTATTTTTATATCTTCATTGTATGATTATTTTATAGACAAAAAAATAATTTCTAATATATTACTTCTTTTAGATTGAGATTGATCCCGAATATCATCCAAAAATAATAGGCCGTAAGGGTGCTGTTATTAGCAAAATACGTAGTGATCACGATGTTCAAATTAATTTCCCTCGGAAAGGTGATCCAGAAGAGCATATCATTACTATTACTGGTTATGAAAAAAATGCATATAGTGCGCGCGATGATATATCAAAAATAGTTAATGAATTGGTAAGACCTAAATCATGTTGATAAATAACAAAATTAATAAAAACAAATAATTATTAGATATTATTTTTCCTTAGAATCGATTAACAAAAGAAGAAATACCTATAAACGCTGCTGTACATTCACGCTTGATTGGTTCAAAAGGCAGGAATATTCGTAAAATAATGGACGAATACAAAGTGGATATTAAATTTCCACGAAAAACTGACCCCGACCCTAACGTTGTTACAATAAAGGGGGCAGAAGAAAATGTTGCTCAAGCTAAGGATCATCTTCTTAACTTGGAAGAAGAATACGTATGTATTCTACTTTTTATATTTATGAATATAAATAACATTAATAATGATAGATAAAGACTGATTTATATTTGAAATTCTAGATGCAAGATGTATTAGAAAATGAATATCGCGAAAATCTTCGCATGCCTCATCACGATGAAGGCGGTTTAACTAACAATGAAAGTGATTCTGGTTTTATCGTAAAAGGAGGTCCTTGGGAACAGCAAAAGCAACAGAATGCTCCAAATACCGCGAGCGTTGAAGAGTTTCCACAATTTGCTGGATATTCTCATGTACCAATTGCAACCCCTGATGGTCCTTGGGGTGTTAAACGTTAAGAATTGTCGCTAGAGAATCATTTTAAGGTAATTTTCCTCTGACAAACAGTATAAAAATATATGCTCCCTTCTGGGGTGGTTCCCTATTCCATTACTGATGTTGCTGCATACGACCTGGCCACTCTATTGGACTTTGACACTGGTTTGCTACATAATATTTGACAATGATGTTTATATTTACAATTCACACACCAATGTCCTATATATCTGTAACTGTAATGCGAAACATTATAATTTCGTTGCCTCGTTATGCATATATATTGAGATACAGGAAGCACATGATTTTATACGCAATGAAATGTGTAATCTTGTAACTGTTTCTGTTAATATGCCTTTCAGGTACAGATATGTTGTACTTAAGGCTGTGGGTTCTTAGGAAGTAGTCTTTTGTGTATTATATAATTTTCAGATTGTTTATTCATTTAGATTGTGTGAGTGAGCTTTTCACTCTTGTCTGGCATAACATTTTGTTAATTTATTTATATTTTTGTATATAAATTGCTTCTTTATGTTGTGTTAAACTTTAGTGGAATCAATTTTGAACCACATCATGATATTAGAAACTATGGAAAAATACATGCGTATCAAGAAGCTTTAAGGTCTTTCTAAGGAAAACGTTCCTAGATCTTATTGTAATTTCATACTTTGTTACCTAGTTGTTAGGGCTGCTCTCTGCATCCCTAAATTCTAATATATTATACAAAAAGTTAATGAGGGAGAATATAACATTACTTATTACTGGTTTTGCTTGAAAGCTTTAAAAATAATATTGTGCGTTGGAGGAACAATCTTCAGAAGACCTTGACACGCACGTGCGCTCTTTTATAGCCACTGAAATATGAGATGCAGAATCGCCGTTGTTAAAGAGAATCGTCAATATTTTATAGATCAAAGAAGATACAAAGTACGTTTCGTTAGAAGACTTTATTTATTTATTCATCACTTAATGTATCATGTGCAAACCTGCATTCTACTATTTCTGAGGCCAACTAGCTAAGAAAAAAATATTCGGTTCAAGTGCCTTGTCTATTTTCTTCAAGACAGCTCATTTCAATTGTTAGAGGAATTTGAATATTAGAAAAAAGTCTCGCGTGCTCTCGCGCGCCAGAGGGAGAGAGAGAGACATATATTGATAATAATTATAATAATAAATATAATCAATGTATAACAAGTATCACACAGGTACATAATACTGCTATTATAAGGATAATAGAAGTATCATGTATGCAGAAATTCACTTATATTTTTTAGATTTACAGTACTTTTTATAAGCTTACTTGGTATAGCGACCTACGTCATCCCAATGCATGGTTAAATGTAAGAAAGCAAGAATTAGCAAATCTTACTATACTTAGTTTGGCTAAGAATTTGATAGAAGCTGTGCATGAATATACTTTTTCTAATGAGTTATAAATATAAAAATTGTAATTATTACATTCTCTGTACACATAGATAAATAATGTCGAAACACGAACTTTATTGTAAGAATATACTACATAACTGATTTATTGTTACATAAGAGTTTTTCTTTTCTCTCCTAATATGTATTATTACATCTTAATCTCGTTCAAGTAAATTTGATACATTTAATGCTTTCAATTGATTAACAAATCCGCTGTTGGGTTTGATACAATTTCTTTTACTTTTAACTTTTTCGTATGCTTCATCATATGATATATTTTCTAAAGTCATCAAATAAGAAATAACAATAGTTGGTGAGCGGGAAACTCCTGCATTACAATGTATAAGAATATTTTCATGACGATTTTTATGTATTATATTAATACATGTTTTTACTGATAAGAATATATCTGATTCTGGCAAATCTAATAATTCACACTGATAATATTTTATGCCATTAAATTTAAGACTCAAATTAATACCAATACTTAAAATGTGTTTTATATTGTATTTCTTAAGTATTTCTATACTGACGGCAGGATCCTGTGAACTAAGAAATAAACCATGTATAATACAAGAAATTTGCATATCAGGTTTTTCATCAATAACGAAAGGTAAACCTTGTGTTAATTCTTTTTTTATGCCATTCACAACTTCGTATCTTCTACCAAGATTATCTGTAATAACCGTTTTAGATGGTCTTAAATTCATACTTTTATTTTTTATAAGATTTTGTAAATCCATTGCAAAATAAAATCGTATCGTACGATAAGTAATTTTAATAATATACAAAATGCAATATTCAATTAACTGATTGTATACTGCTATCAATATTTAATTCCTTAAGTTTATCTTTTATTGTATATTTTTCTAATTCATTAAGATCATAATCTACTTTTACAAGATGTAGTCCATGTGGTACGACAACAGGTAAATGTGTGTTCCAATTTTTCGTCGAGGGAACTTGTAGCATTGTATTTATATCTTTTTCAGTTATTCGTCCAGTTCCCAATCCAAGCAATGCTGATGTTATTCGTCTAACCTATTTAATGTCATAAAAAGGGTATTAATATTCATAAATAATTTATAAATTAATATATAATGAAATTCTCTCTCTGCATTTTGCAATATATTACCTGATTAAATAAGAAACCCTTAGAACTGATTACAACATGCCAGTAATTAAAATTTGTAGATAGTTCATCAAAATACATTAAAGGTTGTGCTTTTTCTATAGTTAAACTATTTAAGCTGCGTACATAATTTCGGTTTAAACATTTGTTTGATTGTGATGCAAATGTTCTAAAATCTTTGAGGCCCATGAAAAGTTTTGTACCTTCTTTCATTCTTTCTATGTCAAAAGTATATGATCTGTAAGATTAATGTAGCAATTATGAATACTTAATGTAAAAAATGGATTTAAGGAAATTTTCTTATTATATGTATTTTCATTATCAATACTTTAGATGGAAACTATGACACATTTCTGATATAGGTAGCCTTTGTTCATCATATTTTTTAGCTATCATAAACCTATATATATATGTTTTTGATTTAACTATGTTCTTAGCTTGGAATTCTTCTACAACCGGAACACATTCTAATATCCTAAAAAAAAAGAAATATTTCAGTAACTATATTTATGATAAATGTCAATTTGATTTATTACCTAATGAAATGTGAAGTTTTTCTAAAAAAACGATTAAGTTGTCTTAATATTTCTTCGGGATTATATAGTTTATTATACCTATTTTCTAACGTTATTTGACCAATTGTTTGTAACGCATGTACACCTGCATCAGTTCTACAAATACAATAAAATTGATATAATTTTGACTTTCATATTAAAAGTATGTAAACAATATTAAACAAGAAAGTTCAATACAACAAGAATTACCTGCTAGTTAAATATAATCTGGGCTTCGATACAGGTTTTGGATGTATAGTTAGTAAAGCTGTTTCAATAGCACCTTGGACAGAATCAATATCAAGGATGTTTTTATTTACGTGCTTCTGCAATCCTCTTTAAATAAATTTTATTAATTATTACCTTTAATTCAATAAGGAACATAATTTTCATATATATGTATATATATTTATATATAAAATTACATGACATAAAAATCGCAACTTAAATAATCAAAGTAAAGTTAATCAAACTTATATTTATATTGACATTTGTCTCTCTGTTTTTCACATAATTTTCATATAATGTTTAAATACATGTACTATTTTTATGAAAGAGTATATATTTACTAAAAGATATATAATTTTATATTTCATATGACTATATTTAAATTTAATAGATTTTATTGAAAGAGATACCTATATAATGTCCCAATAAATGAAAATTTTATAAAATATTTTCCCATTATTACTAGCAATATAACCCTATCCCTAAACAACTGTATGAACCACGCGGTGGCATGATGTTTACTGTATGGTCAAGTTAGGGTATATTTGTATAATACAATATGTCCTATATAATTAAAAAGATAGAAATATCGAATAAAAAATTAAAAAATATATATATATATATCTAAAGATCAAAGATTTTGTTAGTTAATTATTTAATAACCTGAAAAATGAAATATATCAAAAAACAAATTATTGGAAATTTAAATAATCCGCTAAAAAATTAATCACTTTTGCAATATTCTTAATTTCGATAACTGGATAAAGAGGGAGCTCACAAATCGTGGATATAATTTGAAACATCTAAGACGGTCACAGATGGCACACTTTGTTGTTTGCAGATCGTTGAAAATGGCAGTGTCTCCGTTCTTATATTTAATAATCTTTTAACTTTCTTCTGTTGCGGATAAAAATGTTTTTTTATCAGTATTCGTCTTTTGTTTGAAACAATGTCGGATTCAAATTCACCTAAAGCTGATACAAGTAGTCCTAGTCCCTTGGGTAATTTGAGGCAATTCCGTTTTCAAAAGAAAGTGAAAAGAATAAATATGTGTAAGACATTATAAAATCGTTAATTATTTTCTTAATTCTATCTACTTCAATTTTTCATTTTATATATATATATATATATATATATATATATGTATATATATATGTATATATTATATACATATATATATTATATGCACATTTGCACATATATAAATATGTACACATATGTACATTTATGTATATATGTACGTGTATATATAGGTTGTTTCAAAATACGTGGGCATAATTTTAAGGGTGGTTTTAGTAGACTAAAATAAAAAAAAAATCAAATAATTATTTACCTGATATGACCTTGTTTCCAAATTGTAGCTGTTTTAGTCTTCCCTTTATTTATATAACTTACTTGCTTCAACTACATACAAGTAAGCTTCTTATCTGACAGCTTTCTTGTTTACTGAGTAAATACTTTTCAATCAGTTTAGTACATTCTGTTAGTAATAAATATACACGTGGAAATTAGCTATACATTTCTTTGATAATTTACATTGATAATAACATATACAAACGCTGACATGGCTAACATACATTTAATGTATTGTCTTGCCGAATGCAATACTGTATTAGCAAGACGTTTATATACGGAACATTTTCTTAATAAGTGTTTATTAGACAGGATAACTTTCGAAAGAATGCTTAAACCGTTTCGGTATACAGATTCATTCGGAAAACGTTTGCGGAATACTGGTAGATGCAGAACCAAGAGATCAATGACTTTCAAAGAACGAGTTCTTCATCGCATTCGCCAAAATAATAATGAAAACATTTTTAATGAAAACAAGAGTAGAAAATGTTAGAAACGCCACTATATGGAGAATTCTAAAATGTCATATCTTTTTTTTATAACAAATTTATCTTGTATGTTATCTTTATAAAATTAACATTTTCTTATTATACTCATATTCATAAATGCAAAACCAATATATTTTCATGATATAATTATATTTAGGATTTTTTCAATGAACTAAAAAAAAAAAAATATATACAACTTTTTATTTTAGCTGATGATGACAGTAATTTAGTAAGTCCTGATATTCAACCACATAGAAAATCAATTAATCGTATTGAAGATAGTGACAGTGATATTGGAAGTCCTATTAAAGTAAATGTTACAAATTCAGAATCAGAAAAAGAATCCGAAGCTAAACAGAAGGAAGTAAAACTCAAATATTTAACTACATTGTACCCACAAAATGATACTGTTGTATGTATTATCACTAATATTTTGATTTTAATAAATTTATATATTATTGATTCATATTTTTGTTTTAGTATATACAAGAAGTACTTAATAATGTCAATTGGAACATCGAAGAAGCTGAAAACATTGTTAAAAAGAAAAGAAAACGAAGTTTGAAAGGGTCAAGTAAAAGCAGCTACAAAAAGCGAAGAAAATTACACGATGAAGATGCTGATGTAGATTCAGATGAAATCAAATATAAGGATAAAGTATTTAATAGGTATGAAGATAAAATATTTAATAGGAATTCTGTATTTGATTCTTGTTTAAATTTAAAAAAAAATTAAAAAGTATTGAAATACATTTTCATATACATATATATCTATATATATGCATAATCTTTTAGCGATGATGAAGATTCAGATGCAGAAATATCGAATGATTTAACTCACGATAAAAAAGCAGTTTTGGAATTTATGCGAACTGCACTACTGTCTGAATTGCTTCTAATACCACAGTGTTCACAAAAAAGAGCAGACGCAGTGATAGAAGCAAGACCATTTGAAAACTGGAGAGATCTAGTTTTGAAATTTCAAAATAATAAGTATTTGGATACAGAACTTTTAAATTCAACTCAGGTATATTCATCTTTTATCAAGTGTGCTAATAAAAGCACCTTATTAAATGAACCTTTGAAAGTGATTTAACTCTTGTTATGTAATAGGTGTTATTGGCTACACGACAAGTAATAGAATCTCTTATGAAAAAATGCATTCGTTTGTCTACAAACCTTGAAAAAGCAGTAGCTGCTGGTTCATCTACTATAAAACAACAGCCAAGAGGATTGTCATCAAAATTAACATTAGCGCCATATCAAATGATTGGTTTAAATTGGCTCGCAGTTATGCATGCTCAGAATGTAAATGGTATACTTGCAGATGAAATGGGATTAGGAAAAACTGTTCAAGTAATAGCTTTTCTTACATATTTAAGTGAAGCAGGACTTAATAATGAAAAAGATGGGCCTCATTTAATAGTTGTTCCAAGTTCGACAATGGGTAGTTATCAATTAATTTTAACGATGGATTGAATTTTCCATCAATTATATCTAACAAAATATTTTTTGATCATCGTTTTTATTTTCAGAAAATTGGAATAATGAATTAGAAAGATGGTCACCTAATCTAAAAGTTGTCCAATATTATGGTTCTCAAGAAGAACGTAAAGAAATGAGAATGTCGTGGCGAAATGGTGATCTTGATGATGTAGACATTCTATTAACTACTTATAATTTGATCAGTAGTACTCCAGAAGAACGTAGATTATTTCGTGTTATGCCAATACATTATGTAGTTTTTGACGAAGCTCATATGCTTAAAAATATGAGTACAATTAGATATGAAAATCTGGTTAGAATTAATGTATGTATAAAAAAAACTGATTAACTATTTTTAAATTTTCCATGGTATACAAATAAAATATCTTTTTGTTATAGGCTAAACATCGTATTCTTTTAACTGGTACACCATTACAAAACAATTTACTGGAATTGATGTCTCTTTTGATATTTGTAATGCCATCTCTGTTTGCTGGAAAGCAAGCAGATATAAAAAGTTTATTTTCTAAGAATTCCGTAAGTAATAGAAAATTAAAAAGATCATCATTATTTCAATAAACGTTTTAACGGTATGAGTGTATGCTGTGTAATATATTTTAGAAAATGTCATCCGACAAAAATAATAAGCAGCCCCTGTTTGAACAACAACAAGTAAAAAATGCGAAACAAATTATGCGCCCTTTTGTCCTTCGTCGACTTAAAGCAGAGGTACTTTGCGATTTACCTGAAAAAACGGATGAAGTGATACGGTGCACTTTAACTAAAAAGCAAATTCGTATGTACAAAAATTTAGTTGAAAAATTCTCTGCCGAAGCTAATGAAAGCACCGAAGTTAATGGAGTTGGTATGATGATGCAACTGAGAAAACTTGCAAATCATCCGCTTTTAGTTCGAGATTATTATCAAGAAGCACAGCTTAAGGTAAATAGTTAGTCATTACTTCTATGAATTTCACATAATATTATATTTTTTAGAATATAGCTAAAAAATTAGCTGCAGAACCTGGATATAAACAAAAAAATTCAGAGTATGTATTTGAAGATTTATGCTGGATGTCCGATTATCAAATAAATCAGTTAACGCGAATATATAAAAGTTTGGGAGGGTTTGGATTACCACAAGAATTTATTCCCGGAGCTGGAAAATTAACGAAACTAGATGAACTCCTAAAAGATTTTAAAGAAAATAATCACAGAGTATTGATTTTCAGTCAATTTACAATGGTATTAGATATCTTGGAAGAATATTTAACTATTAGAGGACATACCTATTTAAGGTTAACATATTATAAATGCCACTAATAATAATAATAAATGCAAATACATTCTTTCATTACAGTATTTTTTTAATAACCGTAAAAATAATGACTAATTAAACACATTTTTTCATAAACTCTGAATATTTTTATTTTCTAACTGTAGAATGGACGGAAGCACACCTGTAACGGAAAGACAGTCTCTTATTAATGAATATACAGAAGACAATAGTATATTTATATTCTTATTATCTACAAAAGCTGGTGGACTAGGCATTAATCTAACGGCTGCTGATACTGTTATAATTCATGATATAGATTTCAATCCATATAATGATAAACAGGCAGAAGATCGTTGCCATAGAGTAGGTCAAAAAAAGTATGTATTCTAATAATTATTTTTATATAATATTTTGTTATATGTTATTTTAAAAAAAAACTATATAAAGTGTCAATATTAAACTCGTTGCGTATAAAATATTTAGATTCAAACAATATGTAATTTATTTCTAGACCCGTACGTATAATAAGACTTTTAGGAGAAGATACTATAGAAGAAGGCATGTATGAAATAGCTCAAGAAAAACTTAATCTTGAGCAGCAGCTTACTGGAAGTGAAGGTATGTATGTTAATTAATGATTATTTTGTTACTGTTAAATTTAATTCATATATATATATATATGTCTATATATGTATATATATATACTTTTTCGCAGAAGGTGAGAATACAGATAAAAAAAGTGTTCTAAAATTATTAAAAATGATACTTGGACTAGATCCGCATAATAGATCATTATCACTGTCACCTTCGAAAAATTCTAATAAAATACACAGTGAACTTGAAAAAAATCAAGCAGAAACTGATATAGAATTTTGATTAATACGTTTCTCTATATGGAACAGAAAAATAATTTATAAAAGGCGACGTATCGACGCACATTAAAGAGAAGGCATATTTATATTAATGCATTTTGTATCAATTTCACTTATAGAATTTATAGATATCATTTAATTTGTGTAATACACATTTGCAGGGTAGCTTTCCAGGAATATTTGCAATCATTTTTATTTATTTTCACATAAAAACAAAGAAATTTTGTAGCGGTGTGGTAAATGGTATGAATATAAATTTGTGTTAATATTTAAAAAATAAGAGATCTATCTAAAAGAAAAACGTAAACATTTAAAAATATTTTTTAACCCTCAACAAGAATGATATCTACAATAGTAAGCATTTAATTTTAAATAAAATTCTTACCCATTATATAAATCTGTTAAATGGCAGCTATATAGCAATTATATTAGTTTACAAATTTTTGTATCATCGTATTTTTTAGTATATTTCAATGAAATGTAGGGGTGGTACGTAATAGAAAGACTAATAATAAGTAAATGCATACGTATATCTAAACATGGGACCATTGTAATACAATTTATCTATTCTGACTTTTTTCCATAGCTACCTTCCACTGCCTTAATTTTATTATATTTGAATAATCAGTATAACAATCTATGTAAGCTTTGAAGTAGCTTCAATGATATATTCAAAATTTGATTTAAAACTACAAAATTTTTAAATATTTAAAAATACATGCTGCTATTATTTTATTTTTGATGTATTCATTTGTTTTTTATCACATTTACATTCATTATTTAGGTTAATTTATATTTTATTTTTTATGCATATAAATATACTAGCGTTATTTATTTTATTTTAATAAAAATGTATTGTAAAGATAAAAAAAGAAAAAAAATAATTTTGGAAAGTTACCCTCCATTTACCATACATAAAAAAAATTTTTTTTATTCATATTCTAAATAAACCTGCTATAAAAAATCATTTTATATATAATTCTTAGCTTACATTGTATATAATTACTTAATTACAATGAATAATGTCGTAAACAATATAAACACAATTTTAAATACTTTCAATATGTAATTTTTTATTTAAGTTAAAAATTTTATAAGAATTTTGATTTATATTTTTAAATTTTTGTTGTTTTTCTACATTAGTTTTATAAAAATCCTCTAAATCATGCATTTATGCATGAGTGTTCAAATAATAGCAATACATAATTAAATATTACACGCTATTTGAAGGTTCTTCTTACACACGCATTTAAGAAAAACAAACGTAATCTTACTTTTTTTTAGTTACACTGTTTTTGAAAACTATAATAATATTTAATGTTAATCTAAATTTGCGAAGAAATGTATGACTTAATTACGAAGTACAAATAACTGTTTCATATTGTAATTATAATAAATCGCTCATATTTGTACATAAATCGATTTTCGATTTTACTTTGTGAGTAAAAACAAAAAAATGTTGTGAAATTGAAGAGTTTTTCTTATCTTACCTTACGTTTTTCTTATTTTCTAATAACTAAAAATAATGTTAATTCTTAAGGAGATAAAAGTATTGTTTAAGTCAAATATTTTATTTAAATAGTGCCAGTGTAAACGATTCTTTAGTCGGATATCGCCATATTGCTGACGACATTCCGACCTACTATTGTGAATACGCAATTATTTAAATTAAATTATTTCCGGACAAAATCATTAAAGTGAAATGAGATATATAAGAGTAATTAATTCTATTTTTGGAGAATCAATAATATTCTACTTCTTATTAAATAATAACTTAATATATTCTTTTTCGTTGATAATATTTATTATCCGAATAAAAAATTGTCTCAAGAATGTTTAATTCATAAGATTTTCAAAATAATATAATTTTTATTTGAATATTTTATAAATAAATTTTGTTGAAAAACTGAAGATATTAAAATTAATATTTTGTATCGTTTGAACAAATTAAATTTATAAATCTTCAACTTGTTATTACCTATTCTTAATTTATCTAATTAAAACGTATGTTTCTAATCCAATGATTAATTTTTACAAACTTGTAAAATAATTATAGAATTTTATTAATAATTTAGCCATAAAAGAATATCGTATAATAGTCAAAATTTTATCAGCGTAATAAAAAAACAGATTATTGTCTCTTTTAAGACCATTAAGAATATAAAGTCTTTAATTGTGTTATTACAATCCAATCTTTGGAAAAAAAATATATATATCCGTCAGCATATATAAAATTCTAAAGAAGCATAATATTCTTCTTCGATTACCTGATAGAATAAAAAAAAAAACAACTGTGAAATATTACAATGAACTCATTTAATGTCGTATTATAGCTGCGTTAGCGTAACGTTGCGAAAAATTAAACAATGTAGGTAGTATAAATTTGTATAATTCGAGATTGCGAGAAGCAGTTTAAATGTCGAATATTTCGTTCTATATTTATAATAATATTAATTAAAAGTAGTTGTAAAAAAAAAAGAAAAGAGACTATTTTTGCTGATAGAAAATAAATCGATGACGCGAAAGTGGCGCATGTGAAACGTCGTTTGAGAAAAGCAGCATATTCATCTCCTGATTCCTCTAGTCAGCCTCCCACGCGTAACCCGTTCTTTTCTCATTTCCGTGTCCTCACGGAGGAGGAAAAAAAGACTTCTCTACTGTGCATATAAATTTGCGCGCCTCTTTTTTCTCTCGCAGGTCAGAAAAGTAAATCGGATAGATTTTTCTTTCTATTTAAATGAAGAACGAAGAAAAGAAGATATTAATTTTATAATCTGTTTGTTAAAATCTTAATTTATAATAATGAAGGACTTGGAACCTGCATCCTGCCAAAAAAAACCCACTAAATTAAGAAATCTTATACATAAGACAGAAGCGTTCGATGTATTACATACAAAATATGCAGAGGTGAGTATCGATTTTTTCAATTTCTTTTCCTTTTATATTTTAATTCTTGTTTCCTATGATTTTTATTTTTTATGAAATAATTATACATAATAGTACACTAATAATAATAATATTGTCATTTTAATATTATATAAATTTTAATATAATATTAAATGTGTAAATATTGTATTCGAAAATTTTTCCGTATTTTTAAATATAAGTTTATTCATTTTTCATGTCATCTTTATTTAAAATTTAATTATATATATATACGATAATATTAATAATTAATTTAATTTACCAATAATGTATATACATATTATTTATTGTTAATTTCTTTTTACTTTTTTTTAGAGAACACTATGTTCTGACCAAGTTTGTCTTGGAAGCATAATGGCCTTACCTAATCATGGAACAGAACCACGACCTAAAGAAGAAATACTCGTTCATGCGAAAAACTTTCTTGAGCAATATTTCGCTTCTATTAGAAGGTTTTAAATAAAAATATATTGTTATATATTTTTTATAAAAATTATTAAATAAATTAATATGCGAAATATATTCGTCATTATCTCGTAGACTCGGCGGTGATGCACATCGTTTACGCTGGGAAAGTATACAAAAAGAAGTTGCTATTACTGGTACTTATCAATTAACAGAAACAGAACTGGTTTTTGGTGCAAAATTAGCATGGCGTAATGCAGCCCGTTGTATCGGCCGTATACAATGGTCCAAGTTACAGGTTTGTTTTTGCTAATTATTGTTTCTGTCCTGATATTTATTATTATTTGTTAAAATAATGTTACTATTCGTAGGTTTTTGATTGTCGCTATGTTACAACAACCAGTAGTATGTTCGAAGCTCTATGTAATCATATTAAATACAGTACAAACAAAGGGAACATAAGGTAAATTGTTTTTATATTTTAAAAATTTTTAATATATTTTAATTAAAAATGCATTTATATAAAAAAATTATTAAACTTTTATTATAGATCTGCAATAACTATATTCCCTCAACGAACAGATGGAAAACATGATTATAGAGTATGGAATCAACAATTAATTGGATATGCTGGTTATAAGAATCCAGATGGTACAATTACTGGTGATCCAGCAAATGTTGAATTTACAGAAGTAAGAATTAGCTCTAATAATAAATTACTACCTTTTTTAGTAAGGTGAAAGAACCTGTATATAAAAAATTACTTCTAACAATGAATATTTTGTTCAGCTTTGTATAAAATTAGGGTGGAAAGGTGAACGCACACGATTTGATATATTACCTTTAGTTTTATCAGCTAATGGTCATGATCCTGATTATTTTGATATACCTTCCGAACTTGTCCTTGAGGTATCTCTTAGTCATCCAACGTAAGTATGATTTTTACTAATGTCTTGATCAAAAAAAAAAGATTAAAAATTACTGTTTATAGTTATCAATGGTTTGAAAAATTAAATCTCAAATGGTTTGCTGTCCCTGCTGTATCGAGTATGGTTTTTGACTGTGGAGGATTAGAATTTACTGCAGCTCCATTTAATGGATGGTATATGAGCACAGAGATTGGTGCGAGAGATCTATGTGATGTTCAACGATATAATTTATTAGAAGTATTCATTTGTATCTTAATATATTATATTATTTTCAATTAAATCTATATATTATGTTAATATATAACAAATATTTGACTAGACAATTGCTGCTCACATGGGACTTGATACTAGAACATCCACTTCATTGTGGAAAGACAAAGCTATGATTGAAGCTAATGTTGCTGTATTACATAGTTTCCAGGTAGTGCATTTAATACTTACATCAGTAGTAAATATTACAGAACTGAAACTAATAATTAAGAAAATATTTTTAGATGAAAAATGTTACCATTGTTGATCATCATACCGCTTCTGAATCTTTTATGAAACATTATGAAAATGAAATGCGTTTAAGAAATGGCTGTCCTGCAGATTGGTTATGGATAGTACCACCAATATCAGGTTCTGCTACTCCCGTCTTTCATCAAGAAATGGCACTCTATCATCTAAAACCTTCTTATGATTCACAGGTTTTTATTGATTATTATTGAATTTTCATTTTAACAATATCAGTGATAAAATTAATATATATAATGATATAAATTATAAAACTAGGATCCAGCATGGAAAACACACGTTTGGAAAAAAGGTAGAGATAAAACATCCGCATCAAAAAAGCCAAGAAAGAAGTTTCATTTTAAACAAATTGCAAGGTAAACCAAAAAATAACGGGATAAACATTTTTATTTGTATATATGAAACAAATATTAAAATGAAATTAATCTTAGAGCTGTTAAATTTACATCAAAATTATTTGGGAGAGCATTATCTCGAAGAATAAAGGCAACAGTATTGTATGCAACAGAAACTGGAACTTCACAAATGTATGCTGAAAAATTTGGCGAGTTATTGGGTCACGCTTTTCATTCTCAAGTATGATATTATGCTACATATATATCTACATATGTTTAAGATGCATTAATCTCTATGTTGAAGTATAATAAATTAAATTGGTTAGGTCACTTCTATGGCAAAATATGATATCAGCAATATTGAACACGAAGCATTGCTTTTAGTAATAACATCTACTTTTGGAAATGGTGATCCTCCAGAAAGTGGA